CTATTAAAATCACAACAAACCGCGGAAGTGGGACAATTTTTGTATTTTTACTGTAAGACATGTAGAACATGTACGAAATCCATACAGAAGTGTGTGTGTATTCTATACTTTTGAAACAACTAAATCAGACTTCGGAAAATTTGACTGTATTAAAGCTGCTTTTGGGAATTTAGATTTTAGGTCTTCGTTTTACATGTACCCAGACCAGTAAATATTTTTGAGTTTTGAATTTTGTGTATAAATCAACACCAACGCCTCAAAGGCGAAAAGGAGGGCAAGATTGTTAGAATTGCTATTGTAAACATGAGCAGTTTCGAGCATAAACATAAAATTGAAACGAGTAATTTTTACACATCTGATTGGCTAAATTCAGGAAGCCATTTAAGTGTACGCGTATTTGTTACAATTCCGATCAACTCCAGAGTAAATTGTAAACAAATTGTAAGCTTGTGAGAATCAAAGTTCAAAACTCAAAAATATTTACTGGGTACATGTAAAACAACGACCTAAAATCTAAATTCTCAAAAGTAGCTTTAATAGAGGGCCCCCTATACTTTTTGCGTGAAGCGTGAAGGGCTTATTTTACTTAGCCGTGCAACGTGATCGATGATTTTCTTAATCCGTGACTCGTGAAAAGGCAAAATATTTTTACGTGAAAGCATATTGTGAAGAGGTATAGGGGGCCCTCTTAATACTGTCAATTTTTCCGAAGTCTGATTTAGTTGTTTCAAAAGTATAGAATACACACACACTTCTGCACGGATTTCGTACATGTTCTGCATGTCTTACAGTAAAAATACAAAAATTGTCCCACTTCCGCGGTTTGTTGTGATTTACTGTAATTTGTTCTGTTTTTCTGTAGCGGTTACCGATTTATCGGCAAATACCGCGATAAAACGTAGTTTTCTTTATTTATTTTATTCTACAGCATTTATAGTTCTACAGCTATCTTATATACAGTTTTATAATATAATAGTGAATGATTTCGAATATTCAAAACGGATTGAAAGAATGAAAGCAGTAATTATGTATAACGGTTTAAACCGGCGTAGGCCGTACAGCACACTGCTCACTGATCACTGGGACGAAGGATAAACCGAAAATTCACTTCTCTCCATGACAAGCTTTTATAATGTTCAGTCGATCCGCTACATTGAAAGATGAGTACTTGGCTATCTTTTGGCAGGGGTAACGAAATATATCGGCTGTTCTCTAAGTGTTTCTTAATGCGTTGGCCATCGGAATATACTGATATAACTACATAACTCATAAGCTTGATAGATATGAGATAACGAGTTTCACAGGCACAATCCTATTTTAAATACTATGGCTTTTGGCAGTTTTGCATCATATGTGCAGTAAAAGCACCATTTTTCTACTTCCTCAACGTGTAAAACGCGAAAAAACTTTATTAATAAGAACAAAAATTTGTAATAAAAATTTGTAGTAAACAGTGTATTTTATTATAAAGGATTTTCGTTTTTCTACTGCTCCGTAGTTCGTGTGCTCCGTGCTCCGTGTGCTCCGTGCTCCGTGTGTTCCGTGCTCAGTGTGCTCCGTGGTCCGTGTGCTCTGTACTCCGTGCTCCGTGTGCTCCGTGCTCCGTGTTTTTCTAATAGCCAAAATGGAACGGTTTGTTCCAAAGGTTATTAACTGATTTTGTTTGAAAAATCAGCCTCCTTTATAAATAATTTGCTGCTTGTTAGGGAGCATTCATTTTTTAGCCTGGGGGGGGGGGAAGCGGAGGAATTTGGGGGTGGGTCAGCCAATTTTGACATGCTTCAAAGGGGTGGGTCTTTTTATAGTTTTGGTATAAATGCAGGGGGTCATAAAAATAATCAGTGAAAAAATCACCAATATGATTTTATGGAATTTTGAAATATTTGGATCAAGAATGGTACAATGGTCCAGAATCTATCAACCATCCCGTCATCTATAACAATGAAGCAAAATTCATTTGACGCTCTGTTCACACAGTCCATATAGGAAAACATTTCCATGACGTTCGCCAATTGACCTCGTTTTTATCCGTTTTTGTGTGAAAACATGAATGACAGAAAACGCAGGACCGTAGCATGATTTCAAAATCATGCATGATTCTAAGGAGTGCATGACTTCAAAATCATGCAGACCTTGATCAATTTTAAGCTTTATTAATTTTAAGCGGCTACATTATCCATGACAACCTGCAAAGGATGAAGATAGTATCCACAGTTTGCTGCAACTTATCCTAGTTATCCAATATATAATTAATTAAATACGCCTTCGCCCATTTAGTACTCCCAAATTGTCAATTTCGATATCTAAAACGCTGTTTTCTGACCATCAGAATTCTGTCAAATCTTCCCCAAAGGCCAGGAAATGGCATCAAAAAGAGCTTCCTACTGCCCTGAAACGCTATGGAAAATACACAGTGTGGATTAATAGTTAGGATGAGGGGTCAAAAATTTTCAGTAAAAAAAATAGGGGGTCATAATTTTTTATCAACTTTTCTCTTGGGGGTTCCAAGTTTTAGCATGGAATTAGACATCAGTTCCTCCGGCCCAACGCCCCCCCCCCCCCAGCTAAAAAGTGAATGCGCCCTTAAAAATAGCGTTGAAAGTTGCAGTAAAATTGCTTGTTTTAAATGACCGTAAAACTTTTCTTCCATTAGAAGATGGCATTACCATAAAGGCAGCTTCAAATAGAATCTCCTACCAAAAAGGCTTAGCAAAATGTCAAGCTGACGGCAAAGGGCTTTGCACCTCGAAAACGATATGCAAGGATAACAAAACCCCTTACAGCGGACCTCTTTCAGGAGACCACTGGGTACCTGTAAAGGACAGCTACAACGAATGGTTACAAATTGGTAAGACAAAAATATTTTTGAACTAGTGCACTAACAACATGACAAGTTCCTTCATAAATCATCAATTGTTTTGTTAATGCTACCATGTTGTATAAAACATTGCTAATACTAAAATAACAGGTTGTTACAATTTGTCAATAAACCTTTCCAGAAAGTATGCCACTTTGGCTATGGATACTTTTAATTTGTTCGTGTATGTGTCATTAGGTGAAGCCTAACATTTAAATCACGAAGATAAAGCTCTATCGCCCAAGCAGTATTTGCCGGAGCGTGTATCGAGAATATATAGCATTTTAACCGGTGTAGTTGTTGTAAATCGTAACAAGAAATAAAACTTATATATTTCCTCAAATCCTTTGCAAATTACGTCACTTTTACTTCCCACGGTTGCTAAAAGCTGTAGGGAAAAAATTCTGAGGCAGATTAATGGTAACTCTAAACTACCTGAGCAAACCCTGACACTCAGTTATTACTGTACGTACTCAAAGTCGTTTATTCTTTTCTTAGGTAAAGCTCCGCACAAACCATGCACTCTTCACTCTCAATTGGGATCTAAGCCCAAGTGGGGAATGACCACAAGTAGTCATTCCTTCAAGGGAATTCTGTTCTGTTGCAAGAAATAACTGATATGTTATTAACCGCCGTGGTTGAAACTGAACATTTGTTTTATTATTCTCTTACTCTCACATTATTATAATTATAGTTGTCAAAAATGTCAAAATTTGTCAGTGTGATTCAAATGGAAGACAAATTAGAAGCTCAATGCACTAAATCGAAGTTTTAAGGTGTACTTAACGTATTTTCAATTTAATTACATCATTTTCTATTTTCTTGTTCTGTTCAAATTTTCTTCATTTGTAAATACCGCTTCAATATTTACACCCGTTTTAAAAATTTCGCGACCAGGCCAAAAATAGCTAGAGTTGATATGTCACTTTTATCTCAAATTCTTGTTATTTTTTCATGTCACGCCACCTAATCCAATCCCTATCCCTAACCCTAACCTCCTAACCAATCATATTTCTTGACTGCGTGACATGAAATGTAACCCTCCTCTCGAAACCCTACCAGGAACATTTGCAACCCATGCACTGTATCCGGAGCATCGCTGAACTACATGGAACCCTGCAGCTATTCTGATTTTGTGAAATATCCAAACACTAGTTCTCAAATCCGTGTTAGTAGGGACCACGCACTGATTATACTGTTAGACCGGAAAGTTCCTGACGATAGGTCGACGTGAAACACATGTCAAAATGAAGATTGTTGCCGATTATTATCGATCGTACATATGAACAAAAACACAATATGGAACGGCCAGGTCGAGTGTCATTGCTTTGAAAATCACATCGGCACGCCTAAAACTGCGACAATGTGGAAGCCTAAAACACCTTCAAACCTGATAATTTTAAAAAATTTTAAAAATTATTTTCTATTCAACTTCGCCAGGTTAAATTACACCAAATTACATGCATACAACACACATGCACTATTAGACAAATGACGAGTGCCGGGGACACAACAACAGTTAAAACCAATTACTGTGGGCCCTTTCAACAACTTCAACAAGATTTTTGCAGTTCTAAATAGACAACCTTTCTGAAGCATTCGAAACTACCTTTTTGGCGTCTCCTATAGCTTCCCTACGCACGTATCAAAATTGTGACGTATCGTTCCAAGTGTTCCAATAGCTATGGCTACAATTGAAACTTCTTTACATTTTAATTCTATTTTAATTTAAGATCTTGGTATTTCTCTATATCTTTCTTTCCACGACATACAGTACATACAGCACAAAACTACAGCTGGGTGACCGCAACAGGGAATAGCCAATTACTGCGGGTCCGACACAAGCGATCATTACACACACATGCACATGCACACACACACACACACACATACACACATACACACACACAGATACACACACACACACACACACACATTACACACACATGCACATGCACACACACAGTATATGAGTTATATGCAAAAACATTTTTTTGAATCGCTGTATAAAATATTCCTCATAATCTCGCTCCAATCGTCGCACAGCAGAGTCTTTGGAAGGGTAAAACCAAGTTTAACATCCCCAGTTCAAAAAACTTTCCGTGTCCTCTTGGGCAAGCCTGTCCAGTTGGAAAACATCTGTCGTAATACTATTATATTTTGGCTGTTAATTTTGTTTAGCGAGCGACCGATATTTACCAAACCCATGCCAGTTGGAAGAACAGCAACTACATAGTTCCCATGTAATAAAAGCTGAAGAATCTGATTTCGAGTACGTCGGTAGCAAAAAGAAGGAAAAATTTCAAAGACTAAACGCATTTTTAAGTCGCTCTAAGCACTTAAATTTTGTGGACACTCTTAGGTTGGCGGCCATCTTGGATTTTGTAATTTATTATTATTATAATTTATTACACCCACTATATCTGGGTGTTAAAAGTCATGTGACCGGCCGGTGCCGGGGCCTTTTTCCGCCTTCCCAATGACATAAAGGGAAAAGCACTGGGAACGAGGTTGGGTTTTTTTCGTTGTCAGTACTGGATATGATTGAGTCGTCCAACTTGTAAGAGAAAGCAACTGGCGCTGTCTTTCGCTTTAATGTTTGATGTTTGCACTTGGATTGGTTGAATGACAGCCCACAATTGTTGACCAATGTTCCAGGGTTCCAAGACCAGTTTGTAGATTTAACATCGTCCTGTGATTTAAATGCGAAGACTATATTAGTGTCATCGGTGAACAGTTGCATCTCGTGAGCTCGACTGGATGTTGGTGCTTCGAGTAGGTCATTCACTCTAAGCACCCACGTCCATTACAGTGAATATTACAGTTTTTCTCACCATTCAACAAATAGGTCACATTTAACCGTTGACGGTTCAGTTATAGATACACAGTATGCCGTCATATGTGATAAGAACAAAAAAGTATCACGAGCCGCCTAGAAAACTTTTCCGAATTAAACAAGTAAACTGCAGTTCATTGCTATCCCCAAATATTTAGAAGTTGAAATTTTGCAGATATCAGGCGTTCATGGTCTATGCAAATAATAAAATGCTATTTGCTCGCTTAAGTCACGTGCTGAATTCTGGTAAGCTAAGCTTAGAATGCGCTAGACGGTAATAAATAAAGAAAAAGTAGAAATTTATCAAAACAGTGGAAAAACATTTTTTTGAAGAAATAAAAACGTGTGATAAAAACGCAATTATTTTGCTCTGAGGGACTATGGTGATTGAAAAGCGCTTAAAGATACGGTACAGTACAGTCTGCGCATGCGCACATAGGAGTCTCCTGCAGTGATATGAACACTTTAATTAGGTTTTTATTTCGTTTTATGTTCTTGCAAAGCCTGATTGCTGTATCGTGATCATTTATTATACTGCACAAGCATGAAAATATAAAGAGTTGTCGAATGAAGTTCAATATTTTGAATACCGAAATGTAAACAAAGGCTTTGTTTACATATGGACTGTACCCTACCTTTAAACATTGCCTATGTTCCACGACGTGAAGAAACCAGCTGCAAAATTTGAGAAAATATCTTAAAATGTAAAGGAGAACAAATCGATTTGAAGACTGAACCGAAATTACCTAACAATTTGTTTTATTTGTAACTTATTATGTTTTATTATTAGTTTATCGGCAAATGAATAATAGTTGAATGAACATTTCAAAACATTTTACGAAGCGTTTCAAGTTCAATTTTACATTAAATCAAAGCTTACAAAATGCAAATTAATATACCTACAGCAGCTATATATATATATATATATATATATATATATATATATATATATATATATATATATATATATATATATACATATATTATAATAGTTTTGTTTGTGGAAACACCACGTAAATTTATTACTGCAAAGCTTTCGATCCGTAAGCCCGGATCTTCATCAGTGCTAAAAATATGTGACTTGTTTAATACACACGCTGTTTTTATATACAAAAGTCTCGTGATCTGTTGGCTCGCGCCATTTGAAATTTAATTAAACGGCACATCAACCACGTCATTTCAAACGTAGTGAAGTGATTCCAATTAACGCGCGCGCATCCAAGACAAGAGAAATTAATTTTGCACGTTAAAGAGAGCACGCCATGTACCATCTAGTGGCTTTCCCTCCTGATCTATAGTATTGTGCTTCTCGATTTCAATTGACTCTCTCATTTTGCGAGAGAATGATATTTTATGACATAAATCTGCTGTGGATAAACATACTTGGACTTATGACCATCTTTCGCCAAAATGGTTGCTTAATTCGATCGTCCCATTTTAAATGATGGTCGTAAGTCCAAGTATGTTTACCCACAGCAGATTTATCTTGCTCGGCTTTCTCGCGATTCGTCTTGTGTTCCTTAAGACGTATACTAAGAGATTTCGACCAGTTTCACCAATGTAAACCAGACCATATTCACAAGGAATGCGGTACACACCAGGTTTCTGAGATTCATTTACGTTATCCTTATGTATACAAAGAGCTCGAAACAATTTGTTTTCGCTGGAATGGTATACCTTTATACCTGCTTCATTCCTCAAAATTCTTTCGATTTTGTGTGAAGCCGGACCAATGTATGGTAGACAAACAGACGACTGATATTCAATCTTCTGCTGTATACTTTGTGGCGTTTTCATAACATTATTTATGAAATGCCGTGGGTAACCATTCATTTTTAGAACATTTCTTAAATGTTCTAATTCATCGTCAACGTTACTTAGGCTACCTCACAAATTGTTTTCGCCCGGTTGATGAGTGTCTTACACACAGAGTTTTTAATACTAGGATGATGAAATGAATAATATTGCAGATGCCTGTCTGTATGTGTTGGTTTCCTATAAACCTTATGTCCTAGCTATCCATCATCATGTATGGTGAAAAGAACATCTAAGAATGGTATAGTTTTATCATCCTTCTGTACTTCAAAAGTAAACTTGATCGATGGATGCAAAGTATTAATGTGGTCTAGAAACTTTTGTAACTTATCTACTCCATGAGACCAGCTACTCAATGTATCATCCACGTATCTGAACCAGAAACCAGGTTTCAACTTTGCAGTAGCTAGGACCTTCTTTTCAAATTTCTCCATGAACAAATTAGCCATAACAGCCGACAATGGACTTCCTATTGGAGCGCCGTTTGTTTGTTCGTAGAATTTTCCCGCTATTGAAAACATGTCGTGGTCAAACATAGTTTCAACAAATCATGAACATTCTCAGGAGAAAGATTAGTTCTTTAGAGATAATGTAATATCTGAAAGAAGTCTTTCTTTCGCGATATTACAAGCCTCTTCAACTGTAACATTAGTGAATCGAACAAGCTAACTACGTCAAAACTTACCAGAATGTCATTCTTATACCCAATCTAATTTGTTCCATTTTTGTTACAAATTCTTTAGCTGAAAACACCACGTAAATTTATTACTGCAAAGCTTTCGATCCGTAAGCCCGGATCTTCATCAGTGCTAATAATATGTGACTTATTTCTGTGTTGGTGTTGTGTACTCAGGTGAATATGATATTTGTGATGTTACTCTGAGTGTGAGTGATGTTACTCAGAGTAACATCACAAATATTATAATATGTGACTTGTTTAATTCACACGCCGTTTTTATATACAAAAGTTTCGTGATCTGTTGGCTCGCGTCATTTGAAATTTAATTAAACGGCACATCAACCACGTCATTTCAAACGTAGTTAAGTGATTCCAATTAACGCGACGCATCCACGACAAGAGAAATTAATTTTGCACATTAAGGAGAGCACGCCATGTACTATCTAGTGGCTTTCCCTCCTGATCTAATTGTGCTTCTCGATTTCAATTGACTCTCTCATTTTGCGAGAGAATTTATGCCTATCAATCGAGAACTTATGACTATCAATTTATTTTGTATATAAAAACAGCGTGTGAATTAAACAAGTCACATATTATTAGCACTGATGAAGATCCGCGGGCTTACGGATCGAAAGCTTTGCAGTAATAAATTTACGTGGTGTTTCCACAAACAAAACTATTATATTTTATCGCCATGCAAACATACAAAGATATATATATATATATATATATATATATATATATATATATATATATATATATATATATATATATATATATATATATATATATATATATATATTTCGGAAGTTTATTGTTGTATGTTAAAAGTACGAATCTTTCAACTATTTTGCAGTTTTGTACAAAAATATGAAAAAATTAAAAAATTTAAGAATGTCGTATTGTCATGGCAACACTGGAGCGCGAACCTATGTTCATTTCTGAATACTTCATGTTAGTTCAATGTTTGGAAAATATTGGCGAGGGGTTACTGCATGCCTGTATATTTCTGGTATCTTAATGTATATTATTAGATCGATTATAATATACCAAGATGGCTGACTGCACACTATTTTTGGTCAAACAATTTCGAAAACCAAGCAAGATACGAAAAAGTTGTAAATGGTCTTCATATATAACTTTAAAAGTTCTTTCAAATAGGGGAACGTTATTTTTTATTGCCTTATCCCTTTAAAGGTGATCTGCAGCCCGTACGTAAGCAAAGCCTTTGTTTACATTTTTGTGTCCAAAATATTGAGCTTTATTCGACAACTATTTATATTTTCAAGCTTCTAGAGTATAATAAATTATCAAGAAACAACAATCAGGCTTTCCAAGAACTCAAAACATAGTTAAACTGTTTGTATCATAAAAAGTGGGCTCATTTGTGCACATGCGCAGATCGGACTGTAGATCACCTTTAAGTGCGCAAATTGTTACCATTTTGTGCTCAAAAATGGTAAAAATTTCCGCACGTAATACAAACATATACAAGGATATATTTTACGTATTTTACAACTTTTTACAAACTTCACAAGGATATATTTTAAGTATTTTTAATTACAACTTTTCGTAATTTTAATAAGTTTTTTAATTTAAGAGAATTTACTTTTTTTAACTATAGATCAAAATTAGCCTATAACATGCAAGTTGTCTATTGATTCCCCGCAATTACGACATCTTTGCAGACAGAAACAAATCATAATCTCGACTATAATAACTCGATAAAGAGACTGGACACACGTAGAAGCAATATTTCACATTAACAATAGTGTGTACTACAGCAATAAAGTCACTGATAGGCTTTAAACAAAAAATTCAAACACCGGTTAATGAAATAACTCAAATGTTTTTGAGAAGATATTGTAGTCCAAAAAGAAGATAATGGCTGCTTGAAGAGTCTTTCTGTCACAATTAGCTATATCCTAATCAGGGCCGTAGCTAGGATGTATAGTTGGGGGGGGGGG